AATTTGATCAATACGAACAAAGAACCGGTGATCGAAGAGATCAGCATCAGCGAAATAAGGGTTTCTTTAAGAGTGTCTTTGAACCGAGGAGGAACGAGGAAACTCGATACAATCGACTGGATCATTACGCGAAGGAGAAAACCCAACCGAATTCAGATGAGAAGCAAGATTTCCGAGAGGAAAAGAATCCCAAAGGATCGATCGGCGATTTCTTCAATAATTCTGTGTCAAAATTGACAAATGAGTTTACAGGCAGTCAAGGTGATCGAGGCATGCCCGGTTCAACAGGGAATACCGAAATGCAGGTACAAATTGTCGAAACAGAAGTCACCGAGCGGGAAACGACAAGAAACTTTGCGGCTCGATTGAGATTGTCAAAAGTCACCGCGAGACGACAAGGGGATCACCAAGATGAGATCACCTCAAATGAAATGGATGAGACAGAATACCGACCAAAAAGTCGATTCGGTCATGATTCGGATCAAACTGGAGGCTCTCGTGAAAAGTATCGACATGATGATGTGAGAGGAGATTATCAGAGGGACGATCACGGCAGGCGTTACGCATTCCCCCACAGAGACGGTCATTACGAAAGGAGGTCGTATGAACCCAGGGACAGGAATTTCGGAAAGAGAGATGATCAGATGGGCACAAGGGGAAGGAGAATGTTGGAAAACATAACGCGAGATCTTAATCGGATGGAACGTGAGAGGGAAACGCTTGGTGACCGCGACATTCTAACATGGGGCAAGTATCCATCGAAAAAACAGGAGATGGATCAGAGACGAGATAATCCTTTGACAAAAAAAAACCTCTACAAACATCCGTGGCCCAATCTATATAAGCGCCTTCACGGTGTCCAAGATAAGACCATCATGCACTTTGAGAATCTCCGAAAATCCAAGCAATATAGGTGGGAACAAAAGAAAATTATGGTTCAAGGAGAAGCAAAAATTCTGGATTTGATAAAGAAGGGATTTCAGGTCAAGAGTCTCGTGGTAACGGCCCCGTACAAGCCCAAAACCAGATATGAGATTCAACCACCGGCTCTGGATTATCTCGAAAAACCTCCTTCCATAATGGCCGAGAATTATTACCTCATGAGCATCGATATGGTGCGTAAGATTTTGGGAAGTGCGGCCAGGCCCGAAAAACATGAACTTGTCGCAGAATTTCCTTTTCCCACAGTGGAGTTTCCATCGGAAGCCGAACTTGACAGATTATTGATCTTGGAAAATGTGAACGACGCGTCTGACCTCGGAATGTTGATTCGTTCTGCAAAAGCATTGGGTTGGAAAGGGATCTACCTGATAAATAAAAGTGGTGATGTGTACAATGATTTTGTGCAAAGGACCTCTGATTTCCACAGCCTGACATTACCTTACATTTATGGAACTCTTGAGGAATTGCAGGAATTTCTGGCCACCAACGAGATGATGATCATTTATGCGAAAAAGCCAACAACGGAAATTTCCTCGGGGCCTCAATTTATTCGGAAATCGGACATGATAATTACAAGTGAGCAAACAGATCAAGACGATGTGGTTGAAACTCGATTAAAGTTTTGGTATTCTCGTGAGAAGGACCAAGAGATTCGATTTCCATCACGCTTTGCACTCTTCTTGAGTGACGCTTATACGCCTACGTCGCTCCCGGAAGTTCTGAAAGTTGGCGTAGACGCGTCAAACATGAGCATCCCGTCTACCGGTAGTTTATTAATGTGGGAGCTCAATCGCATAATGGAAAATTTTAACGATTCACCGAAACAAAATTGATACTCTATTGGTTTGTGTAAATATATTTAAATTTTTATTCTCAAGATGTTATATATTTCTTTGCATGTGCGACTACGGATATTAGAAATTCATTAAAGAACACGTTTACGCTCACCTGATGAAGGTGCTCAAAAAGTTTGCGGCATAAGATATTTCACACACACAAAAAAAAAATGCATATATACTGTATATACTGTATATACTGTATATATATATATATTCGGTTTGACATCATTTACTACACTAATATACATAATTAATACAACAACATATAATACAAAGAAAAGTACATATTTAATAAAAAAGTAAACGCAATTAAATCAACTTTTTCCACAACCAGTAACTAACGGTCACGATAATATCAGAGACGAATTGGCTTAAAACCTTTGCTTGATCCTGTTCATTCTCTTTGCTAACAAGATTCACCATCAAATTGTTAACGCCCGTTACGCTCGAGGGTGGTTGAGATGCGTGAAAATGAATAAAAATGTCACGATTATTCGAGTCGAATATCACCAAATGACCATCACTTAATTTCCTCGAGTCCTGTGCGTAATATGAAGAAAGGAAATCCAAAACATCTGTCCAGCTCGGGGAAATGGTTAAAATATTTTTGAAATCGGAATTGATTGCATCAATTTCGTGACTGTGACAAAGTTCAATTAACAACTTCAAATCTTCGTCGGTCATGGGATACGAATTGTTACTCCTGTCCAATGCGCGAAGCTGATCCCACAGTCGATCCCGTCGATAGAATGTTGTCGCCTTAAATTGATAGAATTGAAAAAATGAACAAAATAAATAAGCGAATGAACATCTTTTTGTGAAAGACAACATTTATCGTACCTGTTGCGTCATCAAATCAAGTTTATGGTCACATCGGCTTTTCATTTCGTATCGGCTTTCTTCCACAGACTGACTAGTTCCATCGTTGTCATAAAATACAATCACATGATATTCCAGGCTCACTCTTCCGGCCACGTGTTCATCGGTCTGCGGCAAAGAAAGTATCATAATGCATGGTTCATTTGGTGAAGTGGATTGACTGCCTGTGCGAAAATAGCATGACCCTTTTGAACACTCATTTCCGCAGGCCGGCTCGGTGAAGCACGCGATGGGTTTACCATCGTAGGATATCGAGTGAAATCCAAAATATTGAGGATGGCCGAGAATGTAGTCGAATAAATCTTCCGGTATTGAGTCCGACGCACTTTTAAAATTGTGACGATAAATTCGATGACGCGTGCGACTTGCATTAAGAGAAAAATTTCTGATAAATTCAATTATATCGAAAGCAAGAGGTTTTTCTGATTGAGATTTCAACAGATATTTTATGTAGCGAAGATGAAAATCGTAAATAAATGTGTTCACGCGAATCATTTTCTTAAACTTTCCACACTCTTCCGCGAAAACTCTCACACTATCCCTCGCACTAATATTGGAGGCGAATGATGGGGCATCCACACGGATTCTATCGTAACGTCTATTGAGCACGTACAAAGTAACAGACACAAAGTCCCCTTGAATTTCAACATAGCAAATAATTGTTCCACCTTGCAGTGCCTTTAATAGAAACATAGATGAATGTTCATCTGATGCCTTTTCCGTCTCCGAATACTTGGAAGTAAAGGATTCAAGATCTCCATCATCTCCAACGTTGGGCAATAACTGCATACCCATCTTCCCTTCGAGGAAAGCCCGATAATCATCAAAGAATCTTTGAACCATGTCGTCATATAAATGAGGCAACTTATCATTTAACAAAAATTTCGCCCGGCCGCAAAGCAAAACTCGTGATGTACGAAGAATAATATCGATATCCGATTGTTTGGTTCTTTCTTTCATGTCAACATTTTCCTCGTAGCTCTTTTTCCACTTATCATACACATTCCGAGCGTTGTCGTGGGCTTGAGAAATCTCATTCTGGCGGGACCACTCTTTCGTAAATAGTAAGCCATGTCTCTTGAGAACATCAAGGTCTTCCGATGACCGTCCTTCTTCAGGGAGTAGTTCGATATAACTATCCTTCAACACCTCGTTCAAGTCCGACGCTGTAAGTGTCACGCGATTAACTTCCAATTCTACATTTCTCGAAACCGAACTTTTCTTGAAGTCATAACCACGTGCATCAAGTTTTTGATGTGAGGGAAATCGTTCGTTAATGAATGAGTTCACAAGCGTCAAATCTGTTGTCATTGTCGCGGATTTGGGGGTATTATGAGGCGATTGGGGTTTAAAAGTTATCCAACTAGAATGATAGAACAAACCCATTTTCTGATGGAGTATGTTGTTCAATAGTTTAACCCGTTTGTTGTGCCAATCAGTAATTCTCCTCATAGCCGAATAAAAATTGTCTGACTGATGTTTTTTCCAATTGTAAATGTAGATTGATAGATCGAAACCGTCGATAGTCATGAAGAGGAAGCAAGACCTAAATAGCTTAGAAGTTTTTATGTTGTCTTTGTGAAATGGCTTTATGGTGTATTCCATGATGTCTTCCAGGAGACGACGTTGCGCTAATTTTCTGGAATGACTTTCATCGGAGGAACCTCTACGTGATTGCACATTGGGTTTTTGGTACTTTTGGTTCAACTCATTAAGTCCAGCAATTATCAAATATTGTCGGGGGACGGTCTTTGTTCGGTCTTTGGTAGACATAGACGATGGTCTTGGACGATATATTTCATACTTATCCTTCTCGCCGACCGTTGACAGCGATGGAATGAAAGGTTTGGTTCTGAGAATGATGGGCGTGAAAATAGCATGAACACTGGACAACACTTCTTGGACTTCCCTTAAAAAATCATCCATCATCCATGATGGCATATCTAGTTTTACATTCATTGAACTTAATGCAGGATTCTCCAAGTTCGCTGCCTTTTTTATTAATTCTAACGATGGTTTAATGAATTCCTGTTGAGCGCGAAAATCGAAATATTCTACCGCCGAAGTGACTTCTTCGCAAGCGTCAGCCGAAATTCCTTCATTATGTTCACACACAGGTACCTCTTCTTTATGGCCTTCCGCAGGTGCCTCCTTTTTATTCGGGTCTTCCTTGACACGTTCCTCCTTATGGTCGCCCGCAGAGGCCTTTTCCGTATGATTACTCGCGAGGATCTCTTCCTTATGATCTTCAGGGTGTTCTCTATCAGCTTCCGTCTCTGGTGCACGCCCTAGACCCTGAGTTATCGCGATTTCTAAGAAATAATCACAAAGGCACTGCCTGAAACTTTTCTGAACATATTCGAACAATTTGATCCAATTAATCGAGCTCTCAGTCCAAAGTTCGACGAGCAACCTATAATCGTATTTAATGCTATCATCACAAAAAATATTCTCCTCCTGCGAGATGTATTCCACTATCTTGGACATCTCAGTATCACTAGTATCGACCTGATCCGATGTAAGCTCATAAATTGGCCTTCCATTGCGATCGAGTAACGTTAAACAAATTCCGGCAATTCCTTGTCCGACAGAAAGTTCAACATGAGATCGTGTATCGTAATTGAAATTGTAACAGAATGAAAATTCGTGAAGTTGAATATCATATGGTGCTTTTCTAAAAAAAAAAAAAAACAACTGTGTGTCTATACATTAACGGAACATAAATTGGCGACAGAACAACAGATCCACATGCTCATACGCACTTCTCACTATCCAGACCATCGCTATTATAGCTACCACCATAAGAGCGATTATGGTGATGTTTAATAACAGCGGCCACATCCTTGCCACTCAAGGGTCTTAGGTAAAAAGAAAGATTTTGGTTGAAGTATACCAAAAAAGCATAAAGATTTTTAATAAAAGTTGGAATGGCCAACCGAAGCCGCCTAGGGTCTTTGTGGACTGGCAATATGAACTCGATATCCTATGAAATAACCGAAAGGTGTTATTCGATGTTTCGACGCCAAGAAGAGATTTGAAATTGCAAGCATACCTCTTTTTTAAGGAGGGCAGTCTGACTACGAGAAAGAAAAAGAGAAACGGTAGGAATCGTCACGCTCACTATTAACCTGGTTTCCAACATGCTCATCAGACTCCCCATGATCTCCTTGCTCTCTTCATCCGATATATTCAATCCAAACACCTTTACTACCAGATCCCTCCCCGTGGTCTTTGGTTTTTCTCCGGGCTTTCGAGTGTTAGGTGAAGCACAGGAAATATTCCCGGCCTCCGAATTTGTTGTTTGCAATGGCACTTGCGTAGCATTATTATCCATGAGAGTCGATAAATCATCACCCCCCACATTGGATTCTACTTCGTATATTTTAAAATACACGATACTCTTCTTCCCAGTATAAACGAACATATCTTTACGATTTAAAACACAAAACGTGTTGAGAGAAAGGCCAATTCCACTCAATGCTTTATTTGGTGGTACTCGAGGGTGAATGTGGAGTGAATGTTTATGAATTAGGGGGCACTTAAATTGACCGATCTTAAATTTTCCGGTAATTTGACTTTCATTCGACGACAATTCAGCCGAAGGTTGATCCTCGTCTTCCGATAAAGATTCATAACCGGATGGATCATCTGGTGGCACCAAATACTTACTACGTGAAAAGAAGAAAAATGTAAAGAGAAATAAAATGTATTTGCATATCCTTGCATAAAATTAAAAGGAAAAAGCACCTGCAATGACGTTTTTCATGAAGGTCTTCCAACAATATCAATTGATTAACTCTCTCCGATACATCCACAATACATTTTCTTATGTGCTGTATGGTTAACGACCGTTTCAGGGAATTTAAAGCCTTTGAATAAAAGTACACTTGAATGCTCATTCCTTGAGGGATAAGCAACAACCAAAACAATTGCTTTTGTGCAACATTTTTTTTGGTGGACTTGTCAGCCGGATCTGAAATATTTTCCCTATCACTTGGATGGCTAAAGCTTATACCAAGACCAGAAGCGATGCCTTTCTTGCCCTCGCGTCGAGCTTCTGACATGAGGGCATGCGTCTCTGTGTTCTCGGAACCATCATCGTAATTGGGCGTCGCTGTCTCCAGAGATTCCGGAATCTCACCATCCATGCTAATATAAAAACATTCTTCGACCTGATTTAACGAAAATGGTTTCATGTCCGCCTTGCTAAATTCTAGAAGAAACCGAGTCGGACCTTTACTTTTGCGAACAAAAGATAATGGTACGGTAAATGTTGTCGGAAAATCAACGTATGGATTCTTCTTTTTCCTCAATTGCTTTTGAACGTATGCAAGCACCGATTGGTTTACGTTTCGAGTTTTCAAAAGTTCGTGCATAATCTCTTCCTTTAAAAGCCAATCGATACGGTCTTTGGTTTCGTCTATGTTCTTCCGTTTATCCACGGTCAATAAACTCAATCCTGCGGTATTCGATGGATCATCATCAGCCCCCGACTTGTCACCAATGCCATGGTCATCTTTACCAATTTCCTCAACCGATGGTAATGTTAGGCAAATTATGCGTAAAATAGCCTTTGTTCCGTCAGAAGACTCAACCGGGGAAGCTTCAGTTCCAATTGATTCAGGCGAAAAATCATGGCATTTGCCTACCGAGTCTTTGTAAATATATGTGGTGGGCAAACTTGACACCGGAAATTGGACTGTCTCAAATTCTTTCTCTTCAACAGGTTCGGACAGAGGTTTTCTGAAAATACATTCCAGCCGAATGAATAGGGGATTTTCTGCGCAATTATAAATGTCCAAAAAGTTTCCGGCGATATCGACGTTGTCAATAGCATTTGTGATTAAACTACTCGATTTCTTCACGCGATAATAATAATAAGTATATTGTAGTTCATTCCCAACCAAACAGACTGGTTCAAAATAGTGACCAAGAACGGCAACAAACTTTTGGTAAACCTCACTTTCGTCTTCCTTTTCTGCGCCCAGACGAGAGCCTAACACGTGCACATTTACATACCCGGTGATATCGATATCGATATTGATTTCTTCACAAGCATCAACAGCTTTACTGAAATCCTCCGTTTGCACCCTTCGTCTTTGTAAAATACTCGCGTAAATTGACTTCACAAATCCACGAGAAAACAAACTCGTTACGATTTCAATAGCCTTGTTAACCTTGACCACTCGGTCAGCCACAACCTCTTGATCTCCTTGATTCTTGTTTGTTGGATATTCAATTATTTTCGGGGCCAGCGAGCTCTTTTTTAATGAACTTGAGGATGCAAACCCAAGACCAAAAGAATTAAGTCTCTCTTTAGAATCACCATGAATTGGCCTTTGTCGCTCACACAAAAATATAGGCAAGCTTAAATAACACGGTTTGTTTTCAATGTATTCACCATTTTTTCGAACCATTTCATTTATCAAAATCGTGAACGAGGGTACAAAAATAAGAAGGAAGGTATTCGAGTTTATAACTTTAACAAAACACCGAGATTCTCGAAGATCATTAGTGCGAATCGTGGTCGCAGAAGTTTCATCATTCAATAGCTCATTTCCCATATCCTCTATCAATGAACCCTTGCAACTTTCATCAGTCGTATCAATTTCCCAATTAGAATACTTGCTTAGCGTTTTTTCGAATGAAATGTGCAACAAGGCCAAATCCCAATCTAAAGTCTTGAGAGCTGCTATCTGATCTGGATCGATGGAATAGTTCTTGTAATTTGACATTGAAAGTGGAAGTCTTTTTGGAGTTATCATTGCCTCTGAAGATTCTTTTTTGTTCACACTAACGCGTCTCGTACGTGAACGATCATTTGATCCACGAGCAGGTGACTCTGCAGAAAGGATTTTCCTATGAAGAGAAGTATTTGATGGCGAATCGGTCGGAAGGAAGGAAGGAACCGGGTAATTTGCAACTTTAAATTCACTAGAGCGAAGCAATGCAGGAAGATTGAATAAGCTTGGAATAACCAATGGCTCGGATGGAGACGGCTGTTTTGCTCGAGTTTCTGCGATAAAGATTATTTGATCGAATGTCACTAGCTGTGATAACTTCAATCTATCAGCGGCTTCGATTCGACTAACAAACGCATCATATGCATCACGCACATGTAAATGTTGCGGAGGTTCCATCCATAGTTCCACCTTAATTCCTTCAAAAGAAAGCTTCAAAATATGCTGAACACCGCATATGGCCTTACGGACCGGAAGTGACCCCTCTTTCTGAAATTGATCTGTGAAATCTATTTCTTGATAAAACGTTCCTCGGTTTTTCTTTTCATACAAAATATAGCAACCTTCATCCAGACGCGCTTTACAAAGATATTGAAAAGCCAAGTCCCGTATATCCAGATAGTTTTCATCATTCGTGACGAAATCCATTTTAAAATCGTCTAACCACGACCATTCCTTATGCCTCAAGTACGATCTAACGATGCGAGCTCGACCCTCCGCCAAACGTTCATCTTCAGTTTTAATATAGTTCCGCACAACGAATTTCGTCAAAGGTCTTTTGCAGATGTTAACATTTCCTTGAATCCATTCGCGAAACTGATGAACTTCTCAAAAAGCACGTGTATTACAGGGCAACCAAAGAAAGTAGTAGATACGGTCGACCAATATTAAATTTTGGTGTTGCGGCGTTGCCTAGTCGATTAGAAATGTTGAAACAATTGTGGGAAGCAGAAGGTCGAAAAAGGACTGATTGTTGGTATGATGACATCTGGTTTAGTCTAATCCCAAAACATGATAAAAATGCTTCTATGACCGTTAAGACTAAAGGAGATATTGGCTCCACCTGACCCGGGTCTCCAGATATCATTTTTATTTTTTTTATCATAATTTAGATTGGATTCGGGATCATCTTCATTCTTCAGTATATCCATAACATATGACTCGGGGGATTCCTTGCGAATCTTTTGCCGGAATTCAGCAATCTTTTGTAGAAATTTCTCAAACTCCCATTGTATATTGGATATGGTGTCTGATACATTGTGAATGTTCACCGCGATACCTTGTAACAACACTTCCATTGTCGGGAAATCCATCATCAAGGGTAGTAAAAATGCGTTCGAAGCAAAATTGGAGAATTCAGCAATCACGGTCACCAATACTTCAGGTTCGATCTAATTAACGAACCACGCTCAGAATAAATGAAAGTTGAACGAGTACAAAAATTCCTCCAAAGAAAACATACCTTAACGTTATTCTTTTCAGAGCGCAAAATCGTAAACGGTTGAACAAGACCGCGAAGACAACGACTCAGTCTATTGAGGTGAGAGCGATGTTTACCAAAGCAACAAATTATGACGAACTCAAATATGGATCTCCAAATAACAAAAGATTTTTGATAAAGTTGTCATTACGTTCTTATCACCTCGGATATCAGTATGTCTTGATTATTGTCGCCGTAAATTGTTGACACGGAATAAGTAGAGTCTAAAAGAAATACAACACGATACTTTGTGCTTATCGTACGAATACGAGTGTGAGGCATGAGTCTATAAACTTTTTTCGTATCAGAGGAATATGCCACACTGTCTTTTCCCTCGTTCTGTAATTTGATTTGTGTTGATGTGGGTTGTGAACTTGAAATTTGAAGAACTTCAATATTCTAGATTATCAACAAGAAATAGGTTAACGACATATCATTCAGAATAATCCAACCATATACATTACATTGTCTTTTTCTAGGTGAATCGGTTTGAAGAGTCGCTTCAATATCCATTTGTGAAGGTCAATCCTCGTGAAATTGATAGAATTCGTCACGAGCAGAGTTACGGATCCCGCCTCCTCTGTAGTCTACATTTGTACCAAAGAAAAAATAAAATAAAAAGTAAAAAATTTTTTGAACATGAACGCAATGAATTGAGTGCGTATTTGATAAACCTCTGGGAACGCTTGGATAGGCATGCTTGGCGTGTCAAATGTTGAAATAAGTTGTAAGTTGTTGGTAATGGCAACATGGACCGGACAACAAATAACATAAAGTACGTAACGCACGACGTAGATTGTGCGTGTCCAAACTTTCTGAATAACATATTTACATGTGGTCGTCATGTGCCATGATATATCAATTTATTTGAGTAGTATGATATATAGTATATTATAGTTAATTTAGCAGTAATAAAAACTTTAGCAAATATGGCAAATGTTTAATAAAGTAATCTTTTCAGTCAAACAATAACAATAGATAAAAAAAAAAAATAATAAAATAAAAATAGTATATTATAGTTAAATTAAATTATTTAAGTTTAATTAATTTATAATGAATATTAATAATTAATGATTTTGATTTTAATTATAAAATTTGAATTGAAATCTATTTACAGTATATTATACTTAAAAATCAATTATTTTTTTTTAATCCCTTTTTTTTTAGTGTGTTTATTTATTTATTTTTTTTTTTTAAACCCATGGTCAGGTCAGTATTATGTGTTTATTAATTATTAAGAAAATCAATTGAGATACATAGGGCAATTGCATCATGGCTAAACTAAAATCTTGTATCGATACACTCATTAATGGTTTTCAATTCTCAAAAGAGCTTCAGCCTCTAAGTGCAACCTTGGGAACAATATTTTGCTCCGAACTAAGTTTTGGGTAAAGACCCTTCTAACTTACTCATCATTGCTAGTAGGTTATCATTACTTATTATCCTCCAAGGAACTGAATTTGAGAAACTACAAAAGGAGAAAGAAAAAATAAAAGGAAAGGATATATCTAAAAATACACAACTGTGCTATATGAAAATAAAGAAAAAAATAAATAAATAAATGTGCTCCATGTCCTTCAAAGGACCTTTGCTGGAAACCTCTTCTCATTAGGAGTCAATCCTTCTGGAATATCCTTCTTTCTGACCATCTGAGGAACTTATCCATCCATACTTTTGATTATTTTCTTGCAACTATCTAAGGTACTTATCACCTACTTAGATTCAGTGTCTTGCTCAACGTTTCCTTTCTTTTGACCTTGATTTCGTATAAAAGAAGATGGCTAATGATGGACCTCAGGTTCTTATGTAGCTTTTCAGTCTTATTTGATAATTCCTAATATCTTCCAGCAGCCATGCCTAGTTAAAGGAATTTTACTGGTGTTCATCTTGATTGCGATATCATTACACAACATCTGGTGAAATGCATTCTCAATCCTAGAGAAGGGTAGTATTTTACATTTTTCTACTTTTTGATCTTACAGTCTGACTAGGATAAGAAAATAACCTCATTTACGTACTTTACCTAGAGAATTTAGTGCCCATCCTAATGGCCTCATGATTTCTTTGCTTCAGTTAAACTTCATTTGAAGGAATGAAGAAGTTCATATCCTTGATTTCTCTTTCAATCACCAATAACATCATTGAAACACGTGAGGTAACCAATAGGAGCTTGTTTACATTCAGTTACTAACGTGTTTCATGTCAACCAATCAGATGCCAGGTGACATTGTGCTACCAGAAATTCAGGGTCAAACTTATATAGGCAAAATCTCCCAAGAAAACCGTAAAAAACAGTAAACACTTTAAGAGGGTACAAGACAGTATATAAGAAGATGAATAATAAGTCTTCCCCTGCCAACAAAACCTCTATTTTTTGTCACTTCTAACTCTATAAGGTGACACTTCACTTGTCAGTTCTTTTACTTCCTAGAAACTTCTTCTGTGGTTTTTATTTATTACGAAATAATGTTGTATATATGATGATTTATATATGATAAATGTATTATATACTATATATACTAACTAGCAAACCATATGATGCTCTCTTAATTTTTTCTAGAACAATTTTATAGAGTAATCTAGTTATCAGACCATTGCATATACTCTAACCTGTCCCCAGTTTTGGGACTTCGACGTAATCTACGGATTCCTCCTTCTACCAAGGTCTCCTAATGATTCGTTACAGGCAAGTTTGATCATGCTTTTAAGCATCCCACCAGTACAATGTTTACTCTCTTCAGGACTTCAACCTTCTTAACTTGATAACTTCCTTATTGGTCGGTAAGATCGGCAGAGTGTCTTCGTCAATCCAGTTTCTGTCCTGGTTGACTACGAGATCAGCCTTATCCTCCTCCACCTTATTATGGTAATGATAAAATACTGATTATCCACAACACCCATAGACCGACCTGATTTGATAAAGATCAGCTATAGGTGACACCATGTTACAGTGGATTCTTCCATTTTGGGTATCGATAAGATAGCCAGGACTGCACCCAATAATAAGTATTAACCTGTTATCCAATGAAATCGTTTCATTGTGTATGATATTTTTTTACTTGGCCCTCAGGTGATATTGAACTCTGAATCTTGTGATTGTGACCTAGAAGCATTACTACTATATTATAGACCCATAGGTCTTTTTTTTAGTGTATTTATTAATCTTTAAGAAATTCAATAAAGATATATAAAACAATTTTATCATAGTTAAATTAAATCTCATACTAATTCATTGATCAATAGTTTTCAATTTTTAAATAAGCTTTAATCTCCAAGTACAACCTTGAAAATAATATTTCATTTCATAATAAGTTTTGGATAAATATCCTTCTAACTTACACATCATTGCTAATAAGTTATTGTTACTTATTATTTTTCAAGAGACTAATTTTAAAAAACTACAAAAAAAAAAAAAATAAAAAAATAAAAGACAAAAGATATATCTAAAAATTTATAATTGTGTTCCATGAAAGTGAAAATAATAAAGAAAAATTAAAATAAAAAATTTTCTTTTTTGGTAATTTTTTAGAGAAAAAGAATAATACAATCCAAGCTTAGCAAACACAGTAAAGAGAAACATAACTACATCACCTCACTTGGAGCAATACATAAAGCTCTATAAACAAGCCACCAGGAAAAGAGTACATAATAACAACATTAGTACTTTATCCATCAACTTTTGAGGAAAAGGGAAAACAAAAGTAAATCTGAATCACAGTAAGGCCAAGAAACCCAACATTAACTCTTCTAGCTTCCAACCAGGCCAGTATAGATTTACATCTTTCTAGACATTAGAAGGAACCTAGTAATATAATAATTTCAACTGGTAAACTAGTCAAACTTCAAAAATTGCAAGACCCAAGAGGACGTCAGAAACCCAAGAGCAATAGCTAAAGATTATCAGTAACAACATATCAGCAACAGATAAACAACTAGCACGTAACGTGAATACAAACATGTTCCTTTAGACAATAGAGGTATAACAATAGATTGCGTGACATATCTTTAGACAAATAAACAAACTCAACACATGTCCTAACTAATCACAAAACATGTTCCTCATATCTGATTTATCCCTTAATAGACCCAGCACATGTATTACTAAAATAATGAATAAATAGATAAACAACTTGCAACTCGTGTTTACCCCACAATTGATTTATTAGTACAATAGATAGATTAGAGAATCCCAGTAATACTATCTAAATAATTAAACAAATAAACAGAGTTAATCTGCGAAGTGTGACTCATCCAATAATCACATTACATAATTAACATGGATAGGGCACAACGTATTCTTCATATAGTAAATAAAAGGAAGGAGGATATCTTGAATATCTTAATAAAGCTTTCAAGATAGCATGACGAAACCTCAAAACTATAGGCATTCCAACAGTTGATAAGGTGAAAAAAAGGAGACCCAATGGAAGAAACAACTTCTACACCAGAGACTTTTACCATCCTAGATAGTATTATTGCTAACATTCTAGAAATAGACAAAACAACATTTCATAAGGAACGGATTCATACTCAACATATCCTATACCTCTGATAACAAGGAAAGGAAAAAAAAGAAGATCTTCTACAACCCTATATAGAAGACAAATTTATAGAAATTATCAAGAATGCAAGTGATCCACAGGAGCTGAAAAGTCAACCAATGGAGATCGCTGAACATATAGATACTGAGTCAATAATAGATAATGAAATCACAATGACCAGTGTTCATGAACAAGAAGAGGCCGAAATACAAAGGCTTCAAGAGAAATTAAAAGGTAACAACATTAGTGAATATAGCTCATATGACATGAAAAACAGGGACTTCACCTTATCAATAAATCCATATTTTATAGGAAAAGAAGAAATATATAGACTTGGTGCCATGACGGTCAATATTCCAGGAGAAACAGAAAAAGAAGCCAAGACCTATCTAAGCAATACCCTGAAACTACTACAAAAAGAAAGACACCTTTTAAAAAAAGAATTTATCAATGAAAATTAATGATTGATCTTTTGGATACAAGAAGTAGAGAATGTCCTAAAATGCATAGAAGAAATAAACCACAAAGAGGATAATTTTATTATTCAAAACATAACTCCTCATACTTCACGTTCTACCCACATGATCAAAAGAGAGAAAAACAGAAAAATCTTTCAAGAATTCAAAGAGAAAAATAGATATGATATATGTCATATCAGCCTAATTAATCTAGATCAGAAGGTTTTTAGAAGGTATATAGCTGAACATCTCAAGAGATATAGAATAGTTCAAAACATTTATATCTATAAGGCCAAGATGAAGACTAGGGTTAAGGTCTATTTCAAGCTTCATAAACATATTAAATGGGATCTCACATAAGCATGGACAATACCTATAGATACTGAAACATCCAGAGCCATCTTCACTAAATTAGAATTGACAGATGAAAAGATAAATGCTATCCTAATCAAGAGAAATATTAACTCAGCTAGACTGTTGGGTACAGATAGAATATATACCAGCTTAATAGTGA